TCCACATAAAAATTTTTTTTCTTCCTACTTGCAGGAACCTCCAGAATATCGAAAAACACATAAAAAAAAACAATATAACTAAAAAAAAAAAATATTTTGAAAATTTTACCGTCCCTGGGATTCGAACCCAGGACCCCTCCCTCTTGCTGCAAACTTGCTTGTCTGGTGGCCTACCTTGCAGTCCACGGTGATACGTGAAGCCTACCACAGTTTCGCTTCAAAAGCTCTCTTCTCTCATCTTCGTAATATGCCTTTAGGGGCCCCTTGTGACCCCCCTAATTGGCCTATAAGAATTATCTTCTGCAGTCTTGTTTGGACCATAGACCCCTACTTAGGGTCCGAGTTTGAAAATTCTAACTTGATATTAAAGGGAGCTACGGGGTCTTGAAATTTTAATCTTTCTCCAGCCATTTTATTTTTTTATTCTTTTTTTTTATTATTCAATTAAAATTTCTTTGCTGGACTTCACACACAAAAAACACCCCATGCATGGTAGAATATGCAAAATGTTACAATAGAAGTCGAAAAAGAGAAAATAAACTGATTTTCCGGGATTTTTCCAGTTTTTTCCCATTTTTCCCAAGAAAATTTTTTTCCTACATGCAGGAACCTCCAGAATATCGAAAAACATAAGAAAAAAATAATATAATTTAAAATAAACAAAAAAAAAAGAAATTTTTTGAAAATTTTTTCGTCCCTGGGATTAGAACCCAGTACCCCACCCTCGTGCAGCAAACTTGCTTGTCTGGTGGCCTACCTTCCATTCCACGGTGATACATGAAGCCTACCACATTTTCGCTTCAAAAGCTCTCACCTCTCATCTTCGTAAGGTATCTTTAGGGGCCCCCTGAGACCCCCCTAATTGGCCTATAAAAATTATCTTCTGGGGGCCCTGGGCCTGTGATTATTTGGGGGCCCTTTATGAGTAAATTTAGAGAAAAAGATTTTATTTTGAAAATTTTTTAAAAATTGTTTTATTTTGAGAGTAGAAAACATATAAATTAATTGTAAAAGCATATATACATTATTTTTATTGAAAATTTATGTTAACAATACTTTCCGTGCTTTTTGAGAGGCGAAGTCTTCAATTACATCATCAAAATCAATTTTTTGTAGGACATCATTTTCGATGCTCATAATTGACAAATGACTCAATCTTTCTTGAGTCATACTATTTCTTAACTCATTTTTTATCAATTTTAGTCTCGAAAATGAGCGTTCGCTGCTACAGTTAGTAATCATGAGTGACAAAAATATTCGAAATGAAATGTCAATATTTGGAAATGTATCCTCGAGATTATTGTTTTTCACAATTTCATACATGTCATTTATGCCTAATTGTCCTAATTTTTTCTCCTGGGCCAAATAATGTTTAAAATGTTCTAATTCTAGTACTAGTTCTTTTTCATTCAAATCATCGGTATAAAATCTGCATAAATTATTACAGTGAATCATTAATTCCTTAGTTGTTAACGAATTCAAATTTGAAAAAAATCCAAACAAATCAGTAATTTGTTTATAGGCTGTTGAACGAGATTTTAATTGACTAATTAACGTGTCAATTACTGGGAGGTAAACTTCAACTTTAAATCTTTCGCTACCTTGCAATATGACATCTCTCGCTTCACCATCATAAAATTTCAAACGAGAACTTCTTTGTGGAGTGCGCGTCGTCTCATCTTTATATTTAGAATCAGGAAAATTTTTCTTGGCAATAGTTTCATAGATAGAAAACTTCTCTCTCTGCTCGCACACAAAAGCAATCAAAGATTCAATTAATTTGAGACCATCATCGAGTGGAAGGTCTTTCTTCTGTATACTTATTGACGTCTGGTTTATTCTGGATAACACATCACCCCAAAATTCTGTTAACACAATATTTTCAAATTTTTTCAGTTTCTTTAGAAGGCCACGAGCATCGAGTCTAGTTTCTGGAAGCTCGTCTTTGTTTTCCTCGAATGTTTGAAGGACAGCCATTATTCTTTCGTAGCTTTTTTGCAATGCTGTTACAGCGTCTGAATGGGCGGACCATCTAGTATCCGATGGACGTTTTACCACAAGTCCAGATCCTAAGCATTCTGTCAAGGTATTCCACCGATGGGTAGAACTGGAGAAAAAAGAGTAAAGTTTCTGTAAAAGTTGGAAATAATCTATTACCTCCAAGACGCATCCCGCGGCTTGCGCGCCAACTAAATTTAAACTATGTGCTAGGCAAGGAACAAAGATTGCAGTGGGACATTTCTCTTTTAACCTTGCTTGTAAGCCTGAGTACTTACCTGCCATATTTGGAGCGTTATCATATGTTTGCCCTCGACAATCACTTATATTTATACCTTTATCATTAATGAACGATACAATAGTATCAGACAAGTACTCAGACTTATGACTTTCAATGGGAATAAAATCCAAAAAACGTTCCACTGGAATTCCATCGTTCACATATCGAATAACAAATGTCAGCTGATCTACGTGAGAAATGTCTGGTGTAGAATCAACACTTACTGAAAAATATTTCGCTTTTTTAAGCTCTGCAATTATTTTGCTTAAAACTTTATATCCCATAATCGATATAAATTCGTTACAAATCGAAGCTGATAAATAGGATGTAAATCCTTTGCCTTTATTTCCATAATTTTTTATATGTTCGGCAAGAAAAGGATCAAATTTGCTCAGTAGTTCCAAAGTTCCCAAATAATTTCCATTATGCTGTGATCCAATTGTTTGATCGTCTTTACGGAATGCGAGACCTCGTGATGCTAAGAACTTAATTACTTCAACGATTCTTCGTAATACTTCTTTCCAATAATTGATTTGATTGTTCATCTGATCAGTTAAAACTTTATCCATTAAAAGCCCAGCATTCTTTTTTCTTGACAAGTAAATCATTGTTGCCTGTCTGTGTCCTAACGTATTTTCATGTTCTGAAATGCACACGTTAGAATGTTTCCAATCGTTGAAGCCATTTTCAGAACTAAACGCATTGCTAGTAGTTGCGAAAAGGCGGCATGAGAAACAATACAAAACTTTTTTTGATGGAGAATAAATAAGCCACGATCTGTCAACAGTTTCCCCGTTTCGCAGTTTACGAAAAAAAGCTGATTTATTCAAATGGCGAGTTTTCACTTTGCCATTACTTTCTGTGTAACGTCTAGCTGAATTATTAAAATTACTGTTTCTGTTCTGAAAAAATTCTGGTCCTTTATTAATCCAAAAGATACGTTCTTCTTCCGTAAACTGTATCCAGTTTGCAGGATCACTAGATACGGGCTTTGACGTAGTCTGTGAAATTACTTGTGGTACATCATTTCCTTCAGCAGTTTCACGTTTTTCAGATTCAGATTGAGGCATTATTTCGGATAAATGCTCTGATAAAGTTGATGGATTTCCACCTTCATTAATACTTTGATTTTCACTTTCACCTCCAGATTTTAACGGAATTGTGAAATATGAAGTAAGTTTTGGTAATGTGGCAATAAACTTCCTGTCATCAATAATTTTACGTCTCTTAGCTGCCCCAGTCTGATATGTTCGTTTTGACATATTTCTATGGTTATAATTTTCAAATAACTTGTTTAAAGAAATGGTGACATGTATTTGACTTTTTAAAAACCTAAATTAGAAATATGAATAATTTTTAATTTTATTTTATCATATCAATATAATCAAATAACATTTATTTGTGAAATTAAAAATATTTTTCATGTATTAACAAAGGTTCGGAACTTTCAACTCTTTAAATAACTTCCACTGCTATAGTAGGTTGAATTAAAATTTGAAAACCAAGTTTTGATAATATTTTTGTTAATAATTTTTTTAACATATGTAGTTTATTTCCACAAAAATGCGACATATTAAAAAATAAAATAAAATAATATTGCATATTTAGCCATTTTAGTGAGTTGTAAAATAAATTATTTTCCTAAAATGAAAAAAAAAAACCACTTTATTAAAGATTTTACATCATACCGTTTTCGTGTTCTTTTAAATCTTTCTTTGTTCCAAAAATAAAGTAAATAGATATATCTATACATTATTTGAAAAAATAAATAAAACTTATCTTTCATGAGAAACAATGCATAATTTGAGCTCTCAGTGGACCACCCTCAATGTGGAAACTTCCACTCTCAATAACGAAATAAATTCTCAAATTTATGTAACTTTAAAGTTAGGATAGAAATTTGAACTGATTTGGGGGGGGGGGTGTAGGAACTAAAAAAGTGGTCAAAATGTTTCTTGAGAAAAAAAAATAATGCTGATTGTTGATTTTAACTTCATGAAAAAGTAATTTAATCTCCAATTGCTTTAATTGTATTCCTGTATCAATTTCTAATGAAATGGGTTAATCTGAATATCCTTTTCTCAGAAAACATGTGAATTAACCCTATTGAAAAAAAGATTTTTGAAGAAATATGTTTCTTTTTATTCTTATAAAGTAATCTCAAATGACAAAGTAATGTGACAGAAAACTTCTTTGCACATATTAAAAATACAAAAGAGATGTTTTCCTACTTTAAAAGAGACAGTTAGTTCACAGCCCATGACCAATTCAATTGATCTTTTTTTTTTTATTTATTCAGCAGCTTTAATGGTAAAATAATCAGGGCGGGATTTAAGCTTGGTGGGGCCCTAAGCTACTGAAAATGATGGGGTCCTCATAAGTTCAATTCTATTTCTATACACCTAAAGTAAACTGACATTGTTTTTCATTGTTGATTATTAACATTATATTATTACAAAATTTGATAATATTACTTGATTGTTAAATATATTGACTGTGCTGAGACTATAACTTAGAACCTTTCTTTTTTGATTTCGGGACATATTTTTTGATCGAGGGAAAAAAAAGTTACAACAGAAACACATTTAAGATTATCTTAAGCATACAATTAAAGTTTGGCATGCTGGAAGGGCCACTATATATTTAGCAGAGTTTTTATTTTTATTTATTTACTGTTTATTTAATTTTGAATATGTGTACATGTTATTTGCAAATTTAAATGATTTTTTCCGAACTTTTTTCTCTCTTTATGTTGCATTTTGCTTTGCTGCTCAAAATCTTTGCTGCTTTGAATATATACATGAAATTATGAAGGTGTGTAGAAAATATGCAAGGAGTTAGAATGAATACAAGAAAATACAATTTTATTATAAAATAATGCTTTCTTTTATAATCGCCGCTGAAAAACTGACTCGATTTTGAGTTTTCGACTACCAATGTTTAACTACCTAGCCTTGAACCCAATCCAGAAGACAAGGGAACTATTGGATCAGTACCCAGAGGTATTGAATTATTATGAGAACTTGGTGGAGTTTGTGACCCCGACAGATTTAACATGCACCAGTCACCATTTTATACATGGGAATTCTTTGGTCTGCTGAATTCGAACTCCCATTCTCCCGAACCTGAGTCCATAGCCCTACCAACCAGGCTATCGTGGCCAAACTATTAGTTTATTTTATGACAGCCATTGAACAGCCCACCGAATTTTGAGTTTATGACTACTAATGTTCAAGTCCTGTAATTTTGAACCCAATCCAGCAGATAACAGAACTCCAGGATCAAGTATTGAAAGAAATTTTTGCCTTCGTGGAGGACGTTTTGATGGAACTAACCCGCATTTGAGTTACATTTAGAGGAAAACCACGAAAGTCTCCCACAGTCAGTCTGACAGCAAGGGGACTCTAACCCATAATCCGTCTATCACTGTAGATATTTTACGTCAGCACTGTTGTCAGTGCGAGCCGGGTGTGGAATTCATATCGACCAGCTATCACTGGTATTCGAACTCAGTGAACCTCATGCAGAGGAGAATGCTGGATCCCTAAGTCCGTCTTCATTAAGTAATAACTCTGCGGGAGGTACCAATTTTCCAATTTTATTCATTGGTATCAATTTCATTGTTTGGCTTAAATTTATCATCTTCAAAAGATAAATGGCAATTATCACCCGTAATTTTTGTAGAAAAAAAAATGAAAATAAACCGTTTTTCTTAATCTGCAATGATTAATGAGAAGCAACCACGAGGGTTAATGAGCAAAGTTAACAAGGGGAGGAGAGTTCTAGTTTTTTATATAATTTTTAAATTATTAGTTTTGAACAAGCATACTTTACGAAAAATGCGGAAAAAAAATTTCAGTATTAAGAAATAAAAACTGTCATCAGCTGGAATCGAACACACGATCTCACAATTTTGTGTTAGATTTTGCGGATATTTTTTTAAAATTTAATAAATTAAGTCATTTGGATACTTAGCACTCTTGATTTTGTAGAATATTTCAGGGAAATGTTCTTTAGGTAAAACTTTTATACACACGTTTTTTTTTTCCTTCAATTTTGCGAAAAAATAATTTTTTTTTAAAAAATTGAGGTGTCAAAATAGAAGGCCCTCTGAAATTTTGAGAAGAACTTATCTTTTTGCATGCGGCACTACCTTTTGCATACCTTTTATGAAATGTGGTACTGTCCGCACCGAGAAAAGAAAGTATAGTCAAAACTATTAGAATATAGTTAAATTTACGGTATTTATGGGAGGATCAAAAAACAGGGTAGTTTTTTTCCGTAGCGATTTATTTATGACTTCTCATGAAATTAAAATAAAAATATAGTTTTTTACCATACTATTCGGTAGGTATTTTGATCATTTTATTATGATATTTTAGAAAAGCAGTTCCAAACAGTGTTCTATGGAATTTTAGGGTTCCGGGGAGAGTTAAAGAGGTTCCACGAATTAGCACTTTCTGTATCCTTCATTAACGTATTTGAATTAAAATATCAATTTAATAGAAATGGCTTTTTAAGATGAAAATATATTTCTAAAAACAATGTGTTGAATATTGAACTAATTAGGAAAAGAATAAGTATTTATATAATATTGCATTAGTATTTCATACCTTTTTTTTTCTTTTCTTCAAACTTAAATAATATAACTAAATTCTTTTTTAAAGAAAAATGCTTTTCAAATTGCCATTTTCAACGTTTATAACAAGCATATTCAGTTCATTTAGAAGTAAACAGTAATTCGGCTTAGTTTATCCATTTTCAGCTTATGTATATACACCAAAAATAAATTCAAAACTAGACTAGATGTTGCACAAGGGCTGCAAATTTAACTGTCAGATATAAAACCTTATTTAAGATTGTTAATGATAAAACGATTAAAAGTCTCCATTCCTCTAATTAAATATTTTAAAAATTGTCTGTTTTTTGGTTAAAACGTTCACAATTACCTTAATAAACTTTGATCGTAATGTCGGGGTTCAGCTAACAGAACACTGATTATTTAGGGTTTCGTAGAGGGAAGCCCTAAATAATAATTGGGAACCGCCACCTTAAAGAGTAACATAATAATCACTAATTCGATTAATTTTATTTTTCAGTTTTGCATTTTTATTAAATGTGTTGTAATAAGAGCTATAAATCTAAAAACCCGAAATTTCGAAAAACTGTTGCAATGCGAACAGAGAAATTACCAAATGAATACTTTTAAAAACTTTTTTTTTTTTTTTTGCGAGAAATGTAATTTTTTCTCTGCGCTCTACTTTGTGTTTTACTACTTCCGCATTAACTATTTTGACCATAAATACTAAAAATGGACCTTAGCACTGAATATCAAATCCAAACTTGGAAATAAGGCTATTTTCTTACACTTCGACTTCCACACTTATTTTAAATATTAATATTACATATAAATTATTTTTATTAAACAATTGCAATTAAACTTAAGTATACCAAATTTATTTAATTTTCTTCTAAATAAATATTTCGATGCTATGAATTTAGAAACAGTAAAGAATTAGAAATTAATACCTTGCATTTTATTTACATAAAAAGTGCGTATTTTTTGAAATAAAAAAAAAGCGTTTTTTATATATCGCTGATTTTGGAATAATTCTCAATCAGTAAATTTTCTCTTTCTCTCTTTTTCTAATGTATTAGTTAAGAATAAATTATAATCAATTGGCAATAATGTACTTGTAAAAAATAAACCGTGTTAACTAGAAGAACAATATAGAGAATAGAAAAGCAATTAATCGCTACAAAGATAAAAATGAATGCACCCGCATGCTGTTTAATACTTCCGTATCTCCGTTTAAAATCGAAGCAAATTTTTAAATCTTATGAAATGTACAAATATTTTTTTATTCTTCTTCTAGGCCTTACCCCCTGGAGCAAGTGTGGGCCGTAATATTAATACTGCTTGTAAAAAACAAAATAAATAAATAAATAATATTTCGTAAGCTGATATTATTCAATTGATGTTTATATTAAAAATATTTCTTCATAATTTTTGCATTCTTTTTAATTGTTTTGAGTACATTTGTCAAATTTTTGTGCAAGAATAATAATTATCATTATTTATCTAAATTTTCGGCTTATATTTTTAAGGATTTATTACAAGGTCTATTAAATATCAGAGAGAATAAATGTGATACGGGTTTGAAGTATCAGTTCTGCTCTTGTTGGTGTACAATGACTAGGATGTGGAAGAGCAACAGCCTCGGGCATCCAGCCAAAACGAGCATTCAATATATCAAAGGAA